TTAGTTTCATTATACTAATGATAAAATACATAATGGTTAAATTCTCTCAAAGACGATAGTTCTTTTCTAATGATAATCGATTGTCAACAAATGGTGTCTTTTTTATTTCTGTGCTTCGAACAGAAATTTTTTCTTTTTTTTTCTGGAGTTGCTATGATCTATAATAGGGACGGGGGAGCCGTGAAGCTTGAACTTAAAACTTACATTCATTATTTTTTTCGAAAATATATGTGAGTTCCACAAAATATAAAGGGTGGTCCAAAAGTTTCGACCCTCTCAGTAAATCGATGGTACCTACAACAAACGTTTATAAAGTTATTGATCAAGTTATGTCATTTTGTAGAGAAAGATTAGAGCTATATTCTGAAGAAAATATATTTCGAAATACATAAATCTATAACAATGTTATGGTCATTTTACTAATCTTGGGTGGAAATTTTTAAGTTACATTTTTTCAACAATAAAATATGCTTGTAAACATCTTAAGCGACATATTGTTTTCTAGATATTTTTACATAGTTCGATAGAGTTCGACAAGCTATACGAGAATATGAATGTTTAAAAATGTTCTGATATTATTTTCAATGTAGAACTTGAAGGAAACCAGAAAGACTAATAAAAATTTTACGTATCAAATATTTCTAAGAGTAAGTTCAGCTTTTAATAGCTTCAGTTGGTTGACTGTTGCATCTGTTCATGTAGCTCGAAAAAGTTATTTTCAGCTTCAGTTTATGACGCCGCATCTCGAAACATCAATTAGCAATCGATCAACTCAAGTTATTGAAAGTTAAGTAGACTATATCATGCAACGTATGAGAGATTTGTATTTAATCTGTGTGGTTTCTTCCGAGTTTTATATTGAAAACAGAATTCAGATTTTTCTTGATATTCATATCCTTATAGAACTTGTCGAACTCTATCGAACCATGTAAAAATATCTATTAAAACATGTAGAAAATAATGTTTTGCTCGACTTTAACGACTCAAACATTCGAGATCTTTTTTGCTGTTTCAAAAAATGTAACGTATAAATTTTCACTCAAGATCTGGCCTCCCACTGAGAGTCCGTGAAAAAAGAGGAGTAAAGAGGATCAATGGAAGAATAAAAAATAGGAAAAGTAGGAGGCTCTTATTTCAACCCTCAAAATCATAAAAAACCACTCCAAGTAAAGGGAAAACTTCAACATTGCAAAACTGATCCCTTATTAATCTCTGTTTGGTAGTGGCTTTAAATATAATTATGTTACGCTATATTGTAATTGAGTTAGGGATGTCAAACAATCTATCGAAGTTCTTTTTATCTTTACTACCCGCATTGGATGTTGTAAAAGTCGACTGAAGTTCAATCAATTACTTTTCATCATCTTTTACTGTGTTTGCCTATCTTGTTGCAACTTAGTTCCGCTTTAGTTCTTTGTTTATTTAAGATAGTTCCATATAGTATTTTCATAGATCTAGCGTTTTCTCGATGTGAAAAAAAAAACAGTTTTCACTATCATACATGAACCTACTATTGCTGAATAAATTTATTTCTGCTAAGTCTTTCTCTGTACATTTCACTTTTTGATAAAAAAGAGGAAAAGGAGGTCGAGTGGGTGGCCAGCTCAAGATTAGTAAGGGTGTGGGGTGTGGGTGTGGGTGCGAGAAGATGAAGTACACCCACACTCTTCAGAAAAAATAAAAATTAACCGCGACGTTTTCAAAGCTTAAAAAAGAAAATAGTGAACTGAATCGGCTTGAGCACTCAGTGCACTGGCAAAATCACATTAAAGTCACTAGAAAATTAATCCCAGATTTCAAACACGTTGAATCTACGCTGAAACGTAGAGTTTTGAAACTGCAACGAATTCAAAACTTTTTGAGATTACATGCATTCCTACGAAATCCTAAAAAATTGAATTCGTTGCAGTTTCGAAACTCTACTTTTCAGCGTAGATTCAACGTGTTTGAAATCTGGGATTCATTTTATAATGACTTTAAAGTGATTTTGCCAGTGCACTGAGTGCACAAGCCGTATTCAGTCCACCATTTTCGCTTTTTAGCTTTAAAAACGTCGCGATTAGTTTTTATTTTTTCTGAGGCATATTTCTAACCTTATAACTTTGTTACTATAAGAGCTAGCAGGGTCAATCAAAAGCCATCTTGTAGAGCATGTTTTACTGCATCTTCTCAGTCTAGAAAGAAATTTTCAACTACGTATTTTACTATAGAAAAATTTATTATTCAAATCGAGACAGAACTTCTGGACCACCCTTTATATGTTTACTATACATTACATACGTATATTTCACATGTCCTGAAGTTCCTTCTGCTTCAATAGAACTAAAAATCTACTCGTAATAACTACAAAAATGACGGCCGGTGAAAAATGGAATTGTTTCTCCCGATTTTACGGAGGCTGTTATCTGAATTGTAATTTACCATGGGATGTAATATGTCATCAGCCAATTTTGGTGGATATACAAATATGTGGATTTAAGCCCTTATAAGGCTGTGGGAATGGGTGTAAGTCTTGTCTCAATCCACAGCCACACTCCAGCCACAGTCACACTCACACCCAACTCTCAGAATATGTTGGGGCTGATGTGAGATGGCTATGATACAATTTTCAGTCCTATATCATGACGTTTGACAGAGATATTCACCAAACAAGGGTCCAAAAATAAGTCATCTGGTCTCCAAGAATTCTCTGTGGGCCTTCATTCTATGTATTTAATTTTTTTTTTGTTTGAAAGCTCGTGTATAGGGCTAGGGAGTGTCGTGAACATTTTGTTAAAAATCTTACTTTTTTAAGCGAAGAAAAGGGATGACAAGTTCAATGACTCAAAAAGCCATCTAAAAAATGGCGCTCTTTCTATGGAGATGTTTTCTTGTATGACAATAAAAAGCTTATTTTAAAAAAAGGGTCATGACAGTCCCTAGCCCTAAACACGAGCTTTCAAGCAAAAAAAAACAGTTATTGGCTACAATGAAGCTCCTTTGAGAAAGCTTGGAGATACAATCGAAAACCTATAAAACGAGAAAAAACGAAAAAGATTTTTGGTTTTTTTCAAAAACAGCTTATTTCTTGAATAGAAGGTGACGAAAATCTCGAAAATTTTTTGGAAAAAACGGAGTGTCGAGTAAAAATTTTTGTCGTCTGTGAGAGATCGGATCATGGACTATCTTTCTCTATACCTATCTTAATTTCTATCATTCTGATGAAAAGTGACTTTTTGAGGGTAGCCTTAAAGCGACGATGAATTGTATTGTTTATTGATGAAATAAAGAAAGCTGAAAAAGCTTTGAATGATGAAGAGCAAAAAAAAAATGTTTACGTTTGAGAAAGAGAACCACTCAATCACTTTTGATTTTGCACACGTCGATGTGCATTATTGAAACAAGTAAAAGAAAAAAGAAAACTTGTTTGTGCTGCCAACACAAATTTTGTCCTTGAACAGGTTTGTTGATCATTCTATCTTCAATGACTTGGCATAGCAAAATAGGCTTGATATAGAAGGCGTTTCTGTAGACTATATTGTCCACTCCAGGGACGTAAGAGGAATCTAGCACTCTCAAACGCTCAAACTTCTAAATACTCCCATGTATTTTCTCACTCTGAACATGTATTGCAATGTGCAGGTTTTGCTTCAGTTGGAGAAATTGTTGATTTGATCGATTGGCGTTAAATGGCTGCACTTGGAATGCACACCGGGATTATACTCATAGAGCCTTTTCGATGAAAATTTTTCAATCTGAACTGGGTTTGCGAAAGCAACAAAAAAGGAAAGCATTCAAAGACGTTTCCTGAGAGACACTGACTTTCCTGCTTTCATCATTATTAGACACAGGTTGAAGCACTCATGTCTAATGTTAACTCGGTACAAGAGATAGACGAAGCAGTCCTGCGCTCTTGCTCAAGCTTACGCATATCGTGCGCCTCGTGCTTTTCTTGCTTGGTAACCACGTATTGAAAGTGCAACATTTTTTCTTAAGTGTTCTTTCACCACGAATAGGGTTGGTGTGCGTTTGTTACTACTGCTTCCACACCCACACCGGGTTTTTAAAAACAGAAAACTAGTATGTACTCATACATCCCTATGTTCTTTGCTGTCTCTGGTGGCTGATGTAGATTGACTGCCAAAGTGACTGCATGGCAGTCGATACACAGCCATAGCTGACTCCCTTTTATTGGACAACAATGCCTAGTTTGAGAGAGACAATACCTGCCAAGTAAATCTCCAACCAGTCAATGCCATGTGATATTTTAATAGCTGATCCTGTTCAGTATTTTTACACTCCACTTGCGTTATTTATTTACGAAAAATACTGCTGGTTTACTGCTGAAATTGGATGCTTTACTTTTCGAAGACCAGCTCTCCACATTTTCTCCTCAAAATAAAGAAGTCATTAGTTCCATACAGATAACTGGTCGCTAGTTTACGAAAAAAAAACGTTAAAAATCAACAGTTAGGAGTAGCCAACATTAGTGACTTTGATGCGCTTGCCGAACCGAAGATATAAATCTTTGCTAGTGCCTCAATTGTGAAATATCACTCAATGAACAAGTTCGAATTCTTTGAAAAAAATTTGCGTACTGGAAAATTTGATCCATTTTTCGATGTCAGATGTTGTCAGTGAATACCTCACATTATTTTTGGTAGTCTCAATGGATCTCGCTTGCTCAAAGTCTATAGAATTTTAAGGAGCTACTGGGACTTATTTATTCAGGATTTATTAAATACAAGCATATGTCAGCACACCTACACCGTAAGCAGTACCCTCACCCACATCCACATTTTGTATTTATTGAGGAACTATGCTGGATTTATCCCAAAATACTTGTGGACTTATTGAAAAATCTCAAGAGTTCTCGAAAAAAGAAGTTCCGATAACTGCTGAATATATGAGAGCTTTGATTGACTTCATACTTGTAGATTCGGTCTGGTCTTTTCAACGCAGCTCGATGAATCATCTTTATTTTTAGTTTATAAATATCGATATAAGATCCTTGACCGTTAATGGGATGCGTAGTAGTTGCCAATGTCCAAAATGAACAGGACACACAGAATCAGACTTTCAAAGTACCGATGTGGTATTGGCAAGAGGATTCTTGGGAGACCAAAGAAAAGACCATTTGGCGGCGATATCAAGATATTGAATCCGCAATCATAGAAGAAGTATATGAAGAAAGAAATGGACCAAAAGTTGCCAACCTAGACAAATATTACATTGATTTGAATGAATATGCTCAAATTAGTCGACGGAATCCAACGAAACAATGGAAAGTGAAACGGGAGTTATGTATTCGAGCAGATCTCGTTCGAGAAACAAATCGATTTGTTGATTCACAGTCAACAGCAGGACCCTTTTATGATGTGCCAACTGCTGGTGGTTATCATGGTTTCATCAAAGCTTGGAAAGCTCGTAATGAGCATCGTTCGGACAATGAATCGCTGGAGCTTGCAGCTTGTGGTATCATCTTTGAAGCTGTGAGAGATGGCAAAGACTCATACCAAGCAGAATGGCTTGCGAACAGCTTGAGAAAAGCTAAGGATAGCAGCATAGAAAATATCAGTATAACATGCATTAAATTATACACAATGGAGTCTTTTCTATACAAGATGATTAATGATGCGCTGCGTGACAATGATCAATCTAGAGTTGAAACTCTTGGACCATTTTGCTATCTTTTATTTCAGACACATTACGATAAGTCATTGGACAAACATCAGTTATGGGGTGTAGTCTATCGAGGTACGGTTTTAGATGATGCTATGATCGAAAAATGCAAGGCATCCGTTGGAGAATGGAAATGCTGGTATAACTTTGCATCGACAAGCCGTAATCGTGCTTTAGCGGAAGAGTTCGCTAATACGCTGTTCATCATTGATATTAAACTAGCCCGTGGGGGGCTATCCCTTGAAAAATATTCTATGTACGAGATGGAAAAAGAAGTACTACTTCCCGCTGGAGTTCCACTAAGAATTGATCAAGTTGAATATGACAATGAAAAGCAAAAACATTTGATTTACGTTACTGCTAAAACCAGAGATACAGCATGCAAATCTCTTCAGTTACCCTGAAATTGATCGACAAGAAGTGTTTATTTTTAAGATGCATATAATATATAATTTTTACAAGGCTGTTTACCATAATAAAACTACTGCATTTGTGCAAAAATTACGTAACGCTGTCCTCACATCCTGCTCATATTCAATTTCCTGTTGAATAATAGGATTTTTGACTTACATTGAAGATTTCTCTATATATTGAATTGACTTATGAATACATCATTGAAGATTTCTTTCGATTTCATCTGTATCAACATCTTTTGATTAACAGAAATTATGTAAAGAAAACTTCACAATGTGTATATGTTGTCACCTGTCTCATAAATCTTTCTTATTTTTACGTGGTCGATAGAACTTGCTCAATAAGATCTCTGTTATATCCTTGAGAATTTGAAACTATTTATAACAATCGTGTCATTTGTTATATCCACATTAGACTCTTGTATGACTGTTTTTTCTTATAATTATCAGGGAAGAGAAAAATTCTTTTTTCCAAACATTTTTTTGAAGATAATAATCCTTTTGAAGTCCAACTTCAAATGAACAAGTTGAATACTCGTCTTTTCTTCCTTTTTTGTTGATAAATAAGATGTAATGTCGAATCTTCTATAGTACTTGTTTAAATTGAAAAAAAAGAATTATTCTGAAAATTATCATCCTTTGTATTATATTATAGAGAAATTTTTTCATGTTTAATAATTGAAGTTTTATTTGTTTCAGTACGAAATAAAATTCAACAAGTTCTTTCCGAACAGTTGTGCTCTTATCGCCATCAATAATCGAATCATCGCATATATATACAATGAAGTTTTTCATTGTGAATCATCTCAAATCATACAGAAATGATGGTCAATCTGTAAATTTCATATGAAATGAATTTCACTGAGGGCAGATAAACTATTTTTCTTCTTTGCCATCACTTTTTGTTCACCTTTGGCGTAAGTATTTTATGATTACTAATGTACAGTCCTCTTAAATAGAGTATATATTTTGGAAAGAAATTTTAAAAAAAGAAAAAAAAATAGCTAAGAAGAATAAATACGTAACGCTTATCGTCGTCATGGTGCAAAATAAATGAATTCTTTAAAATAAACAAACAAACTGTGTAAGAAACAAAACAATGCAAAAATTAACTCCATTGAATTGATTTTATTTTATTTTTTTAATCTAATTACATGTACTTAGTTTCTATGTTATTGACTATGATTTGATCGTCAGACAAGAGAGCTTATTAACTAAAGCAAAGAGTCAACGTCTTGTCATATAATGTTCAAGCAGTTTTAAACGAAACACAATGAACAACAATTCGCCAAAAGTAAATACTTAATAAGTCAGTGAAAGTATCATCGAGCAGCTTTCCAATTGAGTTCTATCAATTTCTCCTTTTGATACAGCTGAAATTACCTCTTCCTTTAATAAGGACTTATCTATGATTATATATCGTTTTTCCAGAGAAGTTTGTCAAAACTCAACATCGTATACACATACACTTTAATATGGATAAAAACTTGGTAAATTGAAAGCAACTAGAGAAGAATAATTTAAGGGCATCCTCATCCTCAGGGGCGGCGCGAAGAGGTCGGAGCAGGGGTCTGTCCTAAAAACGAAGAAAGTCAAAAAGTGTTCTCTAAACTGAAATTTTCTCCAAATAAGAGAAAGTTGTATAATATATTTCTTCGAAATCGGAGAAAGTGCCATGCAATATTTTCTGGAGCACGGGGAGGTGCCCCCTCCCCCCTCTTATTGCACCGCCCCTGCTCATCCTTCATTATAGATTTTATCTAGTCTTAATAGATTGTATTTAATGAAGAAAGTCTCCTGTTAATAGTTTTTTTTATCATGTGGAATGCTGCTCACAGAAAATTATCTACTAATTTATCATACTGCAAAATCAAAATGAAAATCTAGTAAAATTAGACTTTTCTCTAAATATAATTAGATGGCAATTGTTGACAATCTAGTTGCTAGTGTACATCCGACTACAATTTTCTAGGAATTTTTTTTTCCAATGGTGGTTATTTTGATTTTATTGAAGGATAATCGGCTTCATGATTTTTAATTATAATGATATGATTCTGTAACTTTAATCAAGCATAATGAATAGAAATTTTCATTATTAAAAACGAAGAAGTGTTTCATTCTTCCAAAAACAGCATTGCTCGCTGATTAGTAATGTATTTTAATTTATTTCATTGTTACTTTTTATTCTTACATTCATTAACGAAAGTTGTGAGCAACTAAATATGTCTAAGTCTAAAAGAGAGTTCTTCAAGATGTAATTGTGCTAAATCAAAATTATTTAGATTCATTATTTTACAGTTAATTCTCAACAAAGACTGGTCAAAAATGGTATTGAATTTAACAATAGATTATGATTGCTGTGTACCTTTATCATCGTCAGTCGTCACTAATGCTCACATGAAACGATCTTTTAGGATGACAATAATATTAGAAGATTTTGGAATTTTTTATTGAAAGGGGTGCTGAAGAGAAGACTTCCTTTTTAATTGTCTTTGGCTCGGTTAAATGTATATATAATGATAGTTTTGTGACAATGGCAACAAAATACGAGTAAGAGACATGAAATGCTTAATTGGTTTACCCAGGATTTTTAAAGCAAATCATAATAGTGAAACATCATAGGTAATCTTCAAAACAGATATTTTCCGACAAGTAAGCAACGAAAGAAGGAATAGTGGTTTTACTGTTTTCCATTTCACAAAATGGGAATGTGAATAGCACTTTTTCCTTTATGGGGATACTTTTCTGAGTTTTTTCTTAAGCCAAATCGTTGAAATCTGACTTCAGAATTCTTGTGTCTAAGGTCCACCCATGAAGCGAAGATTCTTTTTTCGATCTCTCCATTAGAAATTTTCTTTGTAGTATGATAGAACTCGTCACGTTGATCATGAATATTACATTTTTATTGTAGTTTAGTCGAACAATTAGAAAAATATTAAGATCCCTCTAGCGCAATCTCATACAGTTTCATCATAAGAAATAAACAGGTTTTGATCTCAAATTTTTGCTGAAGTAATACTTGGATTACTTGAATGACTTTGAACTAACTTCATTCCTTGTACTCTATACGAATTAGCAAGATGATGGCCTTTGGTTTGATAATATCTTGTTATCGGATCCTTTTTTTTCAAATTTGTGTGTGTGATAATGAAAATTTTCTATTCCGTAACTCCATAAAAGAGCTTCCATTCACTTTGAAAGTTATAATGTGTATAGTATTTCATTTGGGTGTAAGTGTAGATCTTCGCATCATTTCTACTCACAATCCACACTTACACCTTCATAATTGATTTTGCCTTTGTAAATACATGACATGTCGATAGATTTTGGTTGTCGAAGTGAAGGTACTTATGAAGTTATGGTTGTAGATGAAAGTAAACGCTTTATCAAAAAAATGAATACCACCTGGGCTCGTTGTTTTTTTTCTGGATGTTCACCAAGAACTTCGTTCTGAGTGTAAAGCGACGAGAAAAAGACTATTGACAGAGAACTTAGCAAGAGTACAGTACTGCCGTCATTGTCAGCACCAAGAAGGAGTCAATCACATTTCGTCTACCGTAGAATGTTTAACGAGGTACACCTATTCAAGTGGTCACCTCTGAAAGCAGTTTATTTCTTTCTTTATTGAAACGGATTGAAATGAAATGCAAAATTTTTTTTTTCGTTTTCGATAAGAGAAAGAGAAATAGTACTGCGAATGCTTCAGTGGTAACCTTCACTCGCTGTTTACTTTCACTTTCATGCTGTTGTTTAAACTGTTGCACTTGTTTCGATTTTGCAAACTCTTTTTTTATTTGTCTCTTGCAGATAAAATAGTTCATCTTTGAAAAAAAAAACTCATTTTCGTT